ATGAGGTCCCCGAAGGCATGAAGAGGCCACAGCAATGCCTGGGCACCCATACACCCATCTGCCCTCAGAGTCTGTGGGACTGTGGGCTTGCCCATGTGGAGCAGGCCCTGTCTCACTCTCCAGGTAGCCCAACCCTCCCTCCCTGCTCACTCAGGGGGCTTCCCTACAGAGCACCAGCAAATCCCAGGGAAATCCACTTGTACTCTCTCAGGTAAGCCTCTGGGACAAAGGAGGTGCTCGACGAGCATCTGGCAGACCTGTCACCTGAGGAAAGGGAGGGTGCTTTTTGAAAATTACTGTTCTGGTTTCTCTGTATCCCAGCCTGACATCCTACTCCAAAGAACAGCAGCCTGCACTCCCGCCTCTAATACACTGGCACGGCACCACTTCCTGTGCTGCGGGCGTATGGGAAGTTGGCAGGGCCCAGTCCGTGGCCCTGGCCATGGCCTGACAGCCTGAGGCTGATTTAATCAGAAACTCTGTTCATGGTGGAGCTACTACTGACGACCGCATTTCTCACCGGCGACATCCTGTGCACACCAGAGGCCCCTCGTGTCTTTGGGTCACATGTCCCTATTGGACAGGTAGAACATTCTGGGTACAGCAGCCCTATGCAAAGATGACATTTCTCTTTTTTTTTTTCTTTAAGACAGAGTCTCACTCAGTTGCCCAGGCTGGAGTGCAGTGGCACCATCTTGGCTCACTGCAAGTTCCGCCTCCCGGGTTCACGCCATTCTCATGCCTCAGTCTCTCGAGTAGCTGGGACCACAGGCGCCCGCCACCACGCCCGGCTAATTTTTTTGTATTTTTTTTTTTAGTAGAGACGGGGTTTCACGGTGTTAGCCAGGATGGTCTCAATCTCCTGACCTTGTGATCTGCCCGCCTCGGCCTCCCAAAGTGCTGGGATTACAGGTGTGAGCCACCGCGCCTGGCCGTCATTTCTTAAAGTCTTACATATGTGAGAGTTTTTTGTTCTGTTTTTTGAGAGTCTCACTCTGTCGCCCAGGCTGGAGTGCAGTGGCACCATCTCAGTTGCTGCAACCTCCACTTCTCGGGTTCAAGAGATTCTCCCACCTCAGCCTCTTGAGTAGCTGGGATTACAGGCACACATTGCACGTCTCAAAAAAAAAAACAAAACAAAAACAAAAAAAAAAAAACAAATAAATAAAATAAAATAAAATAAAAATAAAAAAAGATAAGGAGTCTCACTCTGCCGCCCAGGCTGGAGTGCAGTGGCACAATCTTGGCTCACTGCAACCTCCGCCTGCCAGGTTCAAGCAATTCTCCTGCCTCAGCCTCCCGAGTAACTGGGATTACAGGAGCACACTACCATGCCCTGTTAATTTCTTCTGTATTTTAGTAGAGACAGGGTTTTACCATGTTGCTCAGACTGGTCTCGAACTCCTGAGCTCAGGCAATCCGCCCGCCTCGGCCTCCCAGAGTGCCAGGATTACAGGTGTGGGCCACCGCGCCCAGCTGCAAAGTATTATTTTTACTAAGTGATCCTGCTAGGAGAATTTTTAATTCAAAAAGAGATATAAAGAAAAAACAGGCTGGGTGTGGTGGCTCATGCCTGTAATCCAGTACTTTGGGAGGCTGAGGTGGGCAGATCACGAGGTCAGGAGATCGAGACCATCCTGGCTAACACGGTGAAACCCCATCTCTACTAAAAAAAAAACCACAAAAAATTAGCTGGGTGTGGTGGCAGGTGCCTGTAGTCCCAGCTACGCGGGAGACTAGGGCAGGAGAATGGCGTGAACCCGGGAGCCTACAGTGAGCCAAGATGGCGCCACTGCACTCCAGCCTGGGCGACAGAGCGAGATTCTGTCTCAAAAAAAAAAAAAAGGAAAACACCACCAACAAAAGGAAAAACGATCTTCTTGTCCTTTATACAGTGTCAGACTATTTCCTGAAGACTTCTCGAACAGGCACCATATTCCACTGGTTCTACAATGACGTGTTTACTCCATCCCGTAGTAAGCAAAGCCTGCCTGCATGAAGGTGCTTCTACGTGACAATTATCTGCAAAACTCAACATCAGGTGGCTAACGTCCATATTCCCAGCAACTTAGAAGGCTCAGGCACGAGGACTGCTTGAGTTCAGCAGTTGGAGACCAGCCTGAGCAACATAGCAAGACCTCATCTCAAAAAGCCAACAGAAAACCCTCAACATTAGGGAATAAAATGACGTGGTATCTTTAGAGGGTTTATGTCCCTGGAATTACTTAAAATCAATGATTCTCAGAATTACCTGGAGGGCTTGTTTTTAACAAACCAATGGCTGGGCTCTCCCTGGAGTTTCAGACTCAGTCTGTCCGGGGCGGGGCTGAGAACCTGACCTCTCACCTACTGCCGGGACAGCCGTGGCTGAGGGTGAGGCCCCACGCCAGGAGGTCACAGCTATCAATCCAGGCTGCACTCTCCTCACCTGTGCAGCAGGGACATGGCCCTGACCTCGGCCTGCTGTGACCCAAAACAGGTCAGGGGCACCGGATGCAAAGCCTGTCACGCAGCAGGATTCCAGCATGCGAGTGTTGCTGGCTTGGCCTCTTCTGTGCCATGAAGGCCCTGGAGCCTGACGGCCAATTGGGCTGCCAGCCACCCTCCTGCACACCCTACAAGCTGTGGCCCGCTTTGCCAGCTGTTCCACGTGAGGCCCAGCCTGAAGTGGGCACGGGTAGGACCGAGAAGGCTGGGTGACATGGGGAGCCACTCCTGCCAACAGCACGCACCAAGACGCCTGAGCTTGCAGCGCAGCTCCCTCCCTCCCTCTGGGTCTCAGCAGCCCAGTCGCACTGGCTCCCTCCACTCACTGTTTTCCTCTGCAGCCATCTGGTGGACCCAACTTTCCCCTAGATGCTCTTTGTGACAATCATAGGGTGGTCTCCACCCTCCTGGCAGGACGCAGACTGACAGTTCTTCCCACTGTGTCTATCAGAAACAGCCAGGGCACCTCGCCACTGTGACACATGCACCCTGACCCTGTTCCCAGAGGTCCTGACTCACCAGGTCTCAGGGGAGGCCTGGCACAAAAGGCCTCAGGTTAACTGTAACATGCAGAGTTATAAAAACAAACAAAACACAAACATACAGAAAAATCTGGCTCTCAGACACCAGTGAAAACCTTTCAGCCCTGACTGCCAAGGCTTTAGCATTTGGGGGTCCTCCTACAGTGTAGATACTGGCTCCTGGGAGAGAAGCTAGAGAGCCAGGAGCCAGCTTCTGTCACCTGGCAGTGAAAACCTTTCAGCCCTGACTACCAAGGCTTTAGCATTTGGGGGTCCTCCTACAGTGTAGATACTGGCTCCTGGGAGAGAAGCTAGAGAGCCAGGAGCCAGCTTCTGTCACCTGGTGCCAGGACGGGAGACACCTGTTTCTGTAACCAACACTGATATGCAAAACACACACAGAGGGCACTCCAAAAAACCTGAGAGACCTGCCGAACCACTTCCAAGCAGGCAGTTTTCAGGTCCCTGCTCCAGTCAGGGAAACTGGAAATAGAGGTCAAGGATCATGCCCAGGTTCTAAGCTCCATCATTCCATCATTCCCCACACATATTATAGAGTCCTCTGTGCCCACGAGCTCTGGGGCAGGAAACACGATACGTACATCTAACAACAACAACAAAAAACCACAAAGGACTCCAGGGCTTCAGGAGACACCCCCGGGGATCCTGCAGAGTTCTGACTCCTCCAATGCATCTTTCTGTGATCTGACATTCCGCACGAAATTTAATTAGAAAATGTACACGTTTTAACCAAGTCTTTAAATACCTATCCCTTCAACCTCTAAGTTGTCACCTTCAGGGGCAGGTGTGGGCCACCGGGGCTTCCTCCCCCAACTCCCGCAGGCAAAAAGCCCAGGGGAGCCCGCTCGCAGCAAGAAGGCCTTGAGAAGGGCCTTGCAGGGCCAAGTCAACAGGACCGAATCCTGGAGTGCACGCACTGCACACCTTCCTTTTCTGTGCGCCGTTTATTATCACTCCAGACAGAAATCATAGTGATTATGATTCCCTAATAGCTACCAGAAATGTACAGGGCTGCTAAGGCCTCAGCATAATGGAGCGCCAATTCAGGTTTGAGCGAATTACAATCTAGTTCCCCGCCCTGAACCTCACCGGGTCGCCCACAGGCAGAGTTTTGTAAACAGCACTTTGTATGCCATGTAATCCCCCCAAGGTCTGACTTCCACCCTTCAACCTAGGCACTTCTTCTGTAAGACAGGATTTTTAAACACCAGGCATAAATGGGCCGGGCGTAATGGTTCACGCCTGTGATCCCAGCACTCTGGGAGGCCGAGGTGGGCGGATCACTTGAGGTCAGGAGTTCGAGAACATCCTGGCCAACATGGCAAAATCCCATCTCTACTAAAAATACAAAAATTAGCTGGGTGTGGTGGTGTACGCCTGTAGTCCCAGCTACTTGGGAGGCTGAAGCAGGAGAATCACTTGAACCCATGGAGGCGAAGGCTGCAGTGAGCCGAGATTGTGCCACTGCACTCCAGCCTGGGCGACAGAGTGAGAATCCGTCCCAGAAAAAACAAAACAAAACAAAACAAAAACACCAGCCATCAATGCCCTGAAGGAGCCAAGCAGTGAAGACAAAACAGCACTGACAGCGAAGAGGCTGTAGTTGTTATGCTCCTGGCTTGTGGCAACCTCCACACATTTCCTGGCTCCTGGCTAATGTGGGGAGGGTAAGGAGCCAGAAACACAGACTTGGGAGGCTCTAGAGGCCTCGAGGACAGCTGCAAAAACTCTCAGAGCTCAGGAACCACAGTGGTGTGAGTGCTGCCAGTCAAGGCCCGCAGCACAGAGCCGCAACGCTTCCTTCCTAGAAGCAAAAAGCTGAGATGAGCTGTGAGAACCATGCCTGAACGCTCTCAGGCATGTCACTGCGACTCCAGCAAGTGGGGCTGGGCCCGGCCGAGTGCACCCTGGGGCCCCGGACATGGCCGCAGGCAGGGAGGAACCGGAGGGGCAGGCGGGGTCATTCCTTACACTGTGTCTCTGACATCTCTCGGGATCCGAGAATTCCAATCTCGAAAAGCTTCATTTTCTTTGTCAAATTCCCGTTCGTCTTCGCCAATGGTCACCGTAAACCTTTTCTCTTCAAAGTCAGGCTCCTGTTCTTTTCGGATAGTTGCTTTTTTTAAAACCTACCATTGTAAGAAGAAAGAAGTCAACACGGAGTGGAATACTGGGCGTCGCTGTTAGGAAACACAAAAGCGGCCGCCCCACCCGACCGCAGCAGCCCCCCAGGAGCAGGAGCCGCCGGCTGCAAGTGCTCGAGGGTGAGGGGCGGGCACAGCACAGGCGTCTTTCTGGGCAGGGCAGTCTGTGCCCGTCTCTGCATGAACAGCTGCCCCCAGCCTCCGTGTGCCCACGTGAGGTACTTATCACTTCCTTCAACCACCCTTGGAACTGAACTCACGGTTCAGTTACTCAGTGACAAGCAGCACGTGGAGTGGCTGGAGTCTCAGAGGGAAGGAGGTGACATGCCGAGGGAGTGAGGCGGAACATCTTGTCCATCATTTCCCAGCAGAGAGGCTGACCAGGAATATGAGGAAGCGGGGCTGGGTGCCGGCAGAGTGGTTCCCAGAGCTTAAGTTCATACACTGGGGCCAACATGGGCCTAGAGGGAGGGAGTGTGCAGTGACGGGGCCAGAAAGCCCCAAGCTCTCTCCAGAAGAACAGTCTCAGGAGCATGGGGCGCAGATCCCGGGGTGCGGCGAGGGCAGCCTCACCAGGCTTTCTGTGAGTGGCTGGAGACTGCACCCTGCGCTCCTGGGCAGCGCCAGTCGGGGGCCCAGTGCTGATCCAGCCCCATGAAGACAGTGGGTATGCCCTGGACTGAACTTCCTGGCCTACTGGGTTGCTGCCTGAGACAGTTAGATCTAATCCTCCATCTTTCTGGGCCTGGTGGCGCATGCCTGTAATCCCAGCTACTTGGGAGGCCGAGGCAGGAGAATCACATGAACCTGGGATGTGGAGGCTACGATGAGTCGAGATTGGGCTATTGCACTCCAGCCTGGGCGACAAGAGCGAAACACCCGTCTCACAAAAAAAAAAAAAAAAAGACACCACAGAAACCGACCCCTAACTTCGGAGCTTTTTTTCTGGGGCTTTCTATGGCTGTCTCTGGACTGAGGAAATTTCAGTTTTGTCAAGAACCACTCCTGTAATAGCATCTTTCTTGTCAGGATTTCTGCCGAATCCTGTTACCTCCTTTGCATGCCGGAGTCCTCGTTCCCAGGCACTCTCTGTTGGGGGCTCTGGAGGGGGTGGAGGCAAAATTTCATCAACTACCGGCCCACCCTGTTGAAAAATGAGAAGGGAGAAGGTGAGAAAGTAAAACTTTCAAGTCTACAGAGAAACCAGACAGTAAAAACATCAACTACAACACCAGCTGGCCGCCTGTGGCCGCTCTCCTTCCACCAAGCCTCACTCCGTCCCCAGAAAGCCGAGGCCTGCTTCCACTCGGTACAACAGAAGCAGCTGAAAGGGGGCACTGAGCCTGCGCTAAGGCACAGCGACTTGTCTTAAGCTTGAGATTCAGACAGAGCTCAGCTGGCTGATGTGCTAACAATGAAGGAAGAGGCATCACGCACCCAAGGATTGGCGGGCATCAGCGGGTGAGGTCCGAGAGGCGGGGCGCCATTAGGCGGGAAGGGGTCGGCTTTGGTGATTAGGGAGTAGTTCCCCTTGTCGTTCACTCCAGGGTGTATAAACCTACAATTCATTCCCCAGGTACAGTTCCCTATGGAAACAAAAGTGAGATCAGAAAGGGTCCACAAGAGCCTAACTGCACAAGGGCAGCTGCCGGGGTTGGGGGTGGGAGAGGGCAGAGGCCATGTTTACCCAGGCCTGATGGTGAGCCACACAGCAGCGGGGACTGAACGGGGAGGTGAGTGGGATAAGCCTGGAGAGGCTGAGCCAGGCAGCTGCACCTGCCCAGGCACAGCAGTTCCCCAGAGGCTGCCAGGAACCCATGGCGCCTTGGTCAGAGGAAACAGCCCGTTTCAGAGTCACTTTGTGGAGGGTTCATGCATACCAACTGTCTGAGTATTAATTTTCCCCTTAAACCAGAAAAGCCCTAGAGCCTTGCTTCCAGCCCTGGCCCAGGCTCATCTAGGTACACCTGGATGTTAACTGTATTTCTGCTGACACAGACATCAATGAGAAGCATTAACAATGATCAGAAGCCTGCAGGTGTGCTCAGGGTGCCCTTGGCCACCTCTGTACATCTGCATTTCTCTTATGAAAATTCTCACAGAGCATTTCAAGATATTTCTGGAATTTAAACAGGGCTTTTACACTTTGCTCATAAATAACAATCACAAAACTTCATCTTCAACAGAACATCAGAGCTAGTAAAGGAAACCTCGACTTTTCACTGCAGAATATAAGACATCTAAGTGTTTAATTACTGAATCACTTTTTAAAAATGTACTTTTTTGAATAGATAATATGTATACATTGTTTAAAACCAAATATGGCATATAGTATCTAAGTGATTTTAGAAATTTTTTCAATGGGTTAACTGCAGTTAGATTTTAAATCATTTAAAATTTTAATCTTAAACATCATTAACACTTAAGCTTGCATTAAAACCAACTCAACACAACATAATAACAATATCAATCCAAATTAAACATGAAAGAAAGTAAACTTAAAATTGCTTATCTGGAAATGCAAAAATGACAAACTAATTTTTAAAATTTCTAAAAGCATTTCAGAGATCACACATAAGTCAAAAGAGGTTGGGAGGCCAGGCACAGTGGCTCACGCCTGTAATCCCAGCATTTTGGGAGGCCGAGGCGGGAGGATCACGAGGTCAGGAGATCGAGACCATCCTGGCTAACAGTGAAATCCCATCTCTACTAAAAAAAAAAAAATACAAAAAATCAGCCTGGCATGGTGGCAGGCGCCTGTAGTCCCAGCTACTCGGGAGGCTGAAGTAGGATAATGGCGTGAACCCGGGAGGTGGAGCTTGCAGTGAGCCAAGATTGCGCCACTGCACTCTAGCCTGAGTGACAGAGCGAGACTCCATCTCAAAAAAACAAAACAAAACAAACAAAAGAGGTTGGGAAATGTTATTCTATAGGGGGTTCAAAAATCCAGAGCCTCAGAGAGATTTAAAGAAAAACCGACTATGCAGTCATACATCTAAGAGAGACTCAACACACCACAGAGCTCTTCATGGTTTGCCTCTGAAAATACCCATGCAGCATTCAAAATGACGTGTGTAACTAAACAAGTAACAAAAGCTCATCGTAAAAAATGTCCAAGTACAGAAAAGTGCTGACAACAGAAACCACAGCTTTTCTGTGTTCCTTTTTCCTGTTTTTCAGACGGAGTCTCGCTCTGTCACCCAGGCTGGAGAGAAATGACGCAATCCTGGCTCACGGCACCCTGCACCTCCTGGGTTTCAGCGATTCTCCTGCCGCAGCCTCCTGAGTAGCTGGGATTACAGGTGGACACCACCACGCCCAGCTAATTTTTATATTTTTAGTAGAGACAGGGCTTCACCATGTTGGCCAGTCTGGTCTTGAACTCCTGACCTTGTGATCTGCCCGCCTCAGCCTCCCAAAGTGTTGGGATTACAGGCATGAGCCACCGCACTCGGCCTCTGTACTACTTTTTCATCTAGAATATGTATCTGGGTGGTGGCTAAATGTTATTGTTCTTCTATTTACAAAAAGTTTTAGGACATCACCTATGAACCTGCTGTCAAAAAAGATCCTTTCTCACTGATATTGGCAGGGGGAGAAAAGAGGAATAAGGCAGAAGAGAACAAACCAGCAAGCACCGAAGAGCAAGCCGAGAAGGCGAGCGTGGGGCTGCCACCAGACGCTGATGGGTGACAGTGTTCAGCTCTCGGGGGCCACCTGCCCAGGGGTGCTGAGCGCTGCCCTGCCCCTGGCCAGAGTAAAGGGGAAGATGGCTCTGGAAAGCAGCACAGTTGGCCTGCACATCCAGCTGGGACACACCTAAAGCAGATGTCAGGCAAAAAGAACACTGCTGTCCCATCCACCTTTTTAAAATGTGAACTTTTATCTGTGTAGGAACACACCCAACTGTTGGGAATGTGGGAAGAGGCTTTAGATTTTATTTTCTCGACTTCTGCCAGTCCATTTTTCCTTTTTTTTTTTTTTTTTGAGACAGAGTCTTGCTCTGTTGCCCAGGCTGGAGTGCAGTGGAGTGATCCAGGCTCATTGCAACTTCTGCCTCATGGGTTTGAGCAATTCTCCTGCCTCAGCCTCCTGAGTAGCTGGGATTACAGGTGGACACCCCCATGCCCAGCTAATTTTTGTATTTTTAGTAGAGATGGGGTTTTGCCATGCTAGCCAGGCTGGTCTCTAACTCCTGACCTCAGGTGATCCGCCCACCTCGGCCTCCCAAAGAGCTGGGATTACAGGTGTCAGCCACCGTCCCCAGCCTTACTTTCATAGTTTAAAAAGCAATTTGTTTAAAAAAAAAAAAAAAAAAGAAATTATCCGAAAATGGAAGCAAAAATAAAGATCTTCTGGTATACAAACTGTATACTCTTCTGTTTCTAACTGGGACTTCAAACCCAAAATTTATGTGGATTGTGATTCTAACAGTATAAAGACAGTCCTGCAGATACTGCGTACAAAGACACGGCCTCAGGCCAGAAGAGGACAAGGACAGAGGCTGCTGGAGCAGGCGGAGGCAGCTCCTTCACTGCTGAAATGTCTAATACTATTTCTGGCTTCCAGGCAGGACGATGGTCTTGTTCTTCACTGGAATGTCAGCACAGTAGCAACTGTTTGTTTTTGTTTTTTCTGAGATGGAGTTTTGTTCTTGTTGCCCAGGCTGGAGTGCAATGGCACGATTTCAGCTCACTGCAACCTCCACCTCCCAGGTTCAAGTGATTCTCCTGCCTCAGCCTCCCAAAGAGCTGGAATTACAGGCATGCACCACCACGTCTGGCTAATTTTGCATTTTTAGTAGAGATGAGGTTTCTCCATGTTGGTCAGGCTGGTGTTGAGCTTGCGACCTCAGGTGATCCACCCACCTCGGCCTCCCAAAGTGCTGGGATTACAGGCATGAGTCACCGCGCCCGGCCAACTATTTTATTCTCTTATTAATCTTCATGTCTGTGTAAACATTGTGTTATTTTACATATATGAAATATTTCATAATAAAATGAAATACTTGTAAATAAAAAATATCCACCCACTCTAAAAGGTACACTGTGAAGTCGACCTCCTACTCCACGGCCATTGCCAGAGGCAGTTATGAATATACTGGGGCTCCATCCATCAATCATTCCCCCTTTTACCTGAGAATATACATCATGCTCTGTGTTGAGCCTCATTTTTTTTTTACTGAACAATGTAACTACAGAAAGGGAACCTGCATGCTCAGCAGCAACAAACCCAAACTGGATCAGGGAAACAGACAGGAAACGTGGAAAATCCAGAAACTAAACAGAGACGGCAGGAAGTGAGGCTCAGCTCACGCTCCAGCACAGCCCACATGAAATATCTTTAAATGTCTCTTCTGATTTTGAATACGGTAAATATCCATTCCCTGTTTCCTTGGTTCACATGGGTCATTTCTATTGACATGTATAATGGTATTAGAAATTGAGAAAGGCCTTTAAAGATAACTCATTATTGAACAACAAGGTATCCAATAGATAGTAACCAATATTTATGAAACTAGTTTAAAATACTTGGTGAGAGGAGTGGCATTCTTTGCCTTTTTGCGAATCCCTTGAATGCTAACCCTGGAAAACCCCTGGCCTCCCATCTGTGTGCGATCAGCCACGAAGGGCTGCTGTGGCTGAAGCAGGAGAGGACATTACCGACCCACTTACAGACTCAGCTAGAAAGGGAGGGGCATCTAAAAGCCTTTTCAGATGTGCTGAGAGCTTCTTCCTGACACCACACTCAGCATGGGAAGGCTTCTTACAGTGAGCTGCAATCGAATCCTATCACCACCCTTTCCCAGCTTGGCTTCTCTGAAATCCATTGGTCTATCTTGAACTTTGAATGGGTCTTTTACAAAGGCATGATTCTGTGACATCCTGCAATGGTCACCTGAGAAAGTCCTGACTCACCGAGAAGCTGGTGAGCACACAAACCAATTTTCAACTGAAAGCTTCAATTTTAATACTGCTAACACTGTCCATTGTTCCTCTTGAAGCCGCGGGCTCACTTTGTTCCTGCCAGGACCTGGACCTGTATGCCCCGGTATGTCTGCCAGTCTTCGTCATGAATGTGTGCTCCACGGAGAGCGCACAGGGTCAGCCGCAGCTCAAGCCTTGCACGTGCTGCCCTTTGAGGCCGCTGGACTTGAGTGCTAGCAGGGGCTCTACCGGCGCTGCCATTCCGCCATGCTGAGTACTGAGAGACATGCACAGCAGGACCCCTCCTCTGCTTTCTGGCTTTCCACAATTTCAGTTACCTGTGGTCTGAAAATATTAGACAATTCCAAAAATAATTCCTAAATTTTAAATGATGTTCTGTGTTGAGTAGCAAGATGAAATCCTGTGCCGACCTCCTCTGTCCCACCTGGGACACGAATCCTCCCTTTGTCCAGCAGATCCACGCTGTCCACGACGCTAACTGCCCACTAGTCATCTAGCAGCCCTCTTGGCCACCAACAACCGTTGGGAGCAGGGTGGTGCTGTGCTCACTGTGGCTGTGACCCACGATCACTGGGGGCAGATGATCTTCCTCCTGACGCATCGGCAGGAGATCACGAGGGGCCCAATGCCACATGGCA